TTTTATTTCTTTATCTAAATATGGAAGGGTCTCCTCTATAAACCTCAAATGAATGTAATTGACTGAAAAAGATTTATATTTTTTAATTAAAATTTTACATTATTTAATTTAAGAATGTCGAATGGTCTCTGAAATTCTTTGGCATTTAATAATCGCCCTATACAAACGGCACTGAACGTGAAAATGATAAACATTGAGTTTAAAATACTTTTCTCTTAAAATGCAGACACTTTTTTCAAAATCGGACAAAATACCAAGGATCCTTATCTTATAAATTTCTTAAATCCGAAAGATTGTGCAAATCTATACAAAAATGCGATTGTAAAATGAAAAGTAGGAAAGTAATATCATAACAGCTGCGACATTGTGCTCCCTGCATGCTTCTGCCACCTAACGGCTGCAGGACGTAATAAAACCTAAAATTATATTACTTTCGTACTTTTCATTTTACAATTGCGTTTTTGTATAGATTTGCACAATCTTTCGGATTTAAGAAATTTATAAGATAAGGATCCTTGGTATTTTTTCCGATTTTGAAAAAAATGTCCGCGTTTTGAGAAAAAAGTATTTTAAAATCAATGTTTATCATATTTTCACGTTCAGTGCCGTTTTTATAGGGTGATTATTAAATGCCAAAGAATTTCAGAGACCGTTCGACACTCTTAAGAGGAGGCTCCTCTTATAGGATTCTCGTACATTTTCCCGAATACAATTTCCTAAATACTTTTTTACTGAATGCATTATTACGGAATCAATTTTATCTAATGTAATTATTATTTCTAAATAAGAAAGTTTGTTATCATAGCAATCGTGAATAATAAACTTGTCGAAGTTTATAAAGTAGACATCCTAAAGAGTAGGTTATATCTATAAAATAGTCAAAAAGTTATAAAATGACAAAATGGCGTACACTTTTTTAAAAAAGTGCGATTTTTCACTATTTTTACAAAAAACAAAAAAAAATGATCAGATCTGATTAATTTTTAGCCCTCCTTAATTAGTTAATTTAATATACATATATATATAATTAATTAAAATATTCTATTTTTATTTTACCAATCGTTCTTTGAGGTGTTTTTTCTAGTAGTTGACTTAACTTATTAAAGTAAGGTTTGGTTGGTATTTAAGCAACCAAAATTTTTTTATTGAATCAACAAAATTTTGGTTTTCCCAATCAAACTTTATTTAGGACAACAAAAATCCTTTTTTTATAATTTTGGTTGTGTCAAACAAATTTTGATTGAGACAATTCAAGTTTTGTTGATTCAACAAAAAAAATTTGGTTGCTTAAATACCATCCAAACGTTTGGTTGTCAATACCAAACCCTTTTTTCAGTGTAGTAGGATGATACCACTATTAATATAAATTGAAGAGTTAAATAAATTTTCGTTTGAGCTAATTATCCGTAATAACAAGAAATAACATTTTTTTACCTTTGATATCGTGCTTTCATTAGTATTGTTATGATTATAAAAATTCTGAAAATCGCTAATTCGCATTATTTCATATCCAAATTCTCTTTTTTCATTTGGAGTGAATTTCATCTAATAAGAATAAAATGATTAATAATACACTTTTCATTTCTTTAAATATAATTTGAAATTAATGCGATTATTACCTTCTGCAAGGATTTATTAAACTCAAACAAATTCCTAATGTCAATTTCGATTTCTTTTTCGTCCCTCATTCCTTCGGATTCTGAATATTTAGAAATTGCTTTGTTTAGAACATTTTGAAATTTTGTTATATCATCATTATTATCGTTATTTTCATTACTGTATGAAATAAATTGATTAAAATAATCACTACTTTCCATATCATTCAAAAAATTGGTGTCAGGCAGAAACTTATTTTCTTCAGTAATCTGGAATATTATAAAATTTGTAATGTACATTTTATTATCGTAAAATTGACATTTTGCTGTTTCATACTCTCTAAAACTGAATTAGTGAAAATTTCACTGATTTTAATTTAGTGATTTACTTTTCATGATTTCAATCAGTGATTTTTACTAAATTTGACCAACTCAGCTCAATATGTATTTATATTTATTATTGTAAAAGATTAATTGCTTCTTACCACAATCATTTTAAGTGTGGAATTTTTTGGATTATATGTAGTATCTATAGTAAATAAACCATATCCTCCTATAATATCGACATAATAATAAACAACATCTTGCCAAGTGATATTTTTTTTTTCCCATTCAGTTGTATTCATAACCATTGGCCAACCACCAATCTTGTCTATAATTTTCTTCAACGGTTCCAATCCTTTTTTCTTAATACTGTCTAAAATTATTCATAATATATTTTTTAATTTCAAGTTTTCATTAACTATTATTGTTTTTTCATTGAAAATAAAAATTATTTGATTTAACAACAATCGGCTATATTTATTATCAAAGCAGATATTTTCTGCAATAAATAATTATTACCGCTCTGAAGGTGTTTAGAATGGTGTTTAGAAAAAAAAATGTTCTCGAAATTACATAACGAATCAGATATAAACTTATTTAAATTAAATAAATTTTGTTTTCAGTGTACGGAAAAAAATATTTGGCATTGACAGCAAAACAATTTTGCTGCATTAATTTGAGAAACAAAAATTTTGTTCAGTCATCTTAAAATCTTTGGGTTTTATGAACAAAATGTTTTGTTGTCAAAGAAGAATATTCTTATCAGTGTAAATTGTTGAACATGAATTAGACACATAAAAAAATTAGATAATTTTATAAATGATAAGAACGAAAACAAGTTGTAAATTCAGATGTTCATTTCATGAACATTTTGCTTCCTCTTTACGATCAGCAAAAAAATTTGCTTCCTCGTGGAGAAAGCAAAATTTTATTGCCAAAATGTGAATTTTTGATTTTTTAACTTTCATTAATTCTTTAAATTTACCTCAAATGTATACTTTATATATATCGATCGATTCGTCTTGACGTAAGGAATACAATTATTTCATATATAAACTTCAATTTAAAAAATCACAAAATTTTATAGCCAAAATGTGAATTTTTGATTTTTTAACTTTCATTAATTCTTTAAGGTATTAGTCGCGCGCCGGCTCTAACCAAAAGTTTGTCTTGAGTCTGACTCAGTCTGTGCTTAGCAAGAGGTATAGTTCTGAGTCAAACTTTTTGAAGGGTACAGGTAACTTCCACTCAGATCGCCGCGTTATCGCACGTGTAGAACTAAAGTTTTGATCGCGGCAACGTCGCAATCTGAATATTATTAAAAAAAATTCAAATATGCTTCTTTAAAAGCTATTTTTGAATTATTTATGATTAATAATTATGTATATAAATGCTTAAACTTTTTAAAAGTATGAGACTTACTAAGAATAATTAATAATTAAAGATGTGAATATTATTAAAAAAAATTCAAGTATGCTTCTTTGAAAACTAATTTTTAGTTATTTATAATTAATATTTACATCAATAATGTATTATAAATTGGTTTATAAAGTAAAAAATAAATATTTCATCAAAAAATGTTTTTATTTCTTAACTGTTGAAATATAACCAACCAATTTAACGTTTCTCATTCGTATTTTTCTTAAAATATATGATTTAATTTAAAAAATTAAGAATTATTTAATACTAATCTATGTTGTGAAATTTTAAATATATTATTTTTTTATTCTACTCTATGAGATATTCCTACTTTCTAACTGTGTACTTTGCATGATTTTGAATTTTGTATGCATTCGCGCGCTACAGCGTTGCCAAGTTTACTGCTTTCCAGCAGTGGAACTTCATATAATTTAAAATTTTGTTAACTTTCTCCTAATATATTTATAGTTTGGTACGGTCAAAAAATTTTAGTTTTTTTGTATGCATTCGTTTCATGAGAATGTATTATGTGGTAGTTTTATTTTAAAATCTGACGACTGGTTTTCATTTAAATAATTATAAAGCAAATTCCTTACATGCATTAGGTGCTCCGTCCATGTAAAAAGTATCAACTTTGAAATGATATTTTAAAGCTTAGGAACGGTCAAAATCGATGGGATTGGTCTTATTTTGTAGATAATTATGTCAGAAACACTCATGCAAAATTTAAAAAATATCTGACGAAAATGATTTTACGCGACTAATACCTTAAATTTACCTCAAATGTATACTTTATATATATATATCGATCGATTCGTCTTGACGTAAGAAATACAATTATTTCATATATAAACTTCAATTTAAAAAATCACAAAATTTTATAGCCAAAATGTGAATTTTTGATTTTTTAACTTTCATTAATTCTTTAAATTTACCTCAAATATATACTTTATATATATCGATCGATTCGTCTTGACGTAAGGAATACGATTTTATTATTAAATGATAATTTATTATTAAATAATAAATGAGCCTACCAAATTTTATCTAAATCCATTAAAACCTGTTAAAGTTATCTTCTAAACAAAAAAGGGATCCACACACACACACACACACACACACACACATACATACATCCGGACAATTGATCAGGATCTCATATAACATGTTTCTATAAAGAAAAAAATTTGTTTCCACCACTTTGAAAAGTTTTATAAACGAAAGGACTACAAAGCTTCCTCCACGAGGAAGCAAAATAAATTAATATTGGAACAACTAAAGTTTTTCATCATTAGGTATAGAAATTTAAATTAAAATTTCATAAAAGAATTACCTTCATCCATACAAGAATTGTACCATTTTTTCTCGAAAATTAATGACTTAGTATCCTCAGAACTTAGTGGCTTTTCTATAATTTCTGAAAAAATACCATAATGAAGAGTAAAAAAAATATAAATTTCCTTATACAGAAAAAACATAATTTCAAATTGAGTACAAAATTTACACTCAATTTGATTTTGATAATCGAGAATTTTTATTTTTGAAACTGACTGTATGAAATTTAAATAATTTTCTCTTTTTCCCTAAATTGAAACGGGTACTATATTAAATTTTTAAATAAAAAATCTCTGTATATAGTGCCATTACCCCTCTCTATCCTACCTTTTATAATAAATTTTCTTTTTTCTTTATTTATTTTAATTAAATCCCAGAATTCTTCGCCTTTAGGAACCGGATAATTAGATTGCCATGAACCACATACGTAGGAATAAAAGTCATCGCAAGGATTTACGCTATCATTCATTCCCTTTTTAATTGATTCCGCTGTAAAACACAATATTATTGTTAAACACATTTTCAATAATTGTGTGCGTAGTTTAAAAATTAAAGGAAAATTTATGTTTTTGAAACGTTATCAAAAATAATGTTCAATTAGGTATGTGACGGCTTTTTAGGTATATTGTTTTTGAGATTTAATGTATATTTAAATCATTATTTTAAGAAACTAATACGAAATTTTTTGCTGCATTAAAAAGGTGTATGTCTCTTGCTAAAACAGTGTTTTTAATATCATTTCTACACTGTTAAAAATATTCGTAGTTTTAATATACATAAAGTACTTAAATTTAAGAAACTGCGTATATTAAAGCGAATTTGTATATAAAGTATATTAAATTTCATTACCTATAGGAATCAGAATTAAAAAATTGCATTTTACTCAATTTATACATGTTCTTGTGTACAAAATAAGTTTTTATTAATAAAGCAAAATAATTTCTTTCATATAAATTCAAGTTTAAATCAATTTACATGGTCAAAATGCATATAATTCGACATTTAGAGTACTTAACCTAAATGTCACATATGAGCATTAAAATTCTGGTATTTAGAATGATTTTTTGAAAAAATTTTTCCTTATGAAACATTATTTGTTTGACACGAACAACATATTAATCAAAGAATTAAGCACTGTTATTTCAATTTGAAATAAATTTTCAATATCAAGGAAATAATGACCGTTTGGTGAAATAGGTATCTACAGCCGCCATGTTGGCACATTAAATTTAATATACATGTATCTTAGATTTCAAGACCTGTAGTGCATATTCGCTTCATACGCATGTCTATTAAATCTAATACAGATTTTTTTAACAGTGTATATTAAAATAAGGTAAAACTACCAATTATTATGATTCAGAAATAAAATCATTATTTATTTATTTTAATTATACAGTACATAAATAGACAATGACAAATAATTAAAAGTTGAAAATATTCAACTGAATCTAACATCACTGAAAATTAAAAGGCATTAAAATAAGCTGCAACGCTTATTATTTTAATCCAATTTTGCTTATTTTAATCCATTTTGGTATTAAAATAAAGCAAAATTGGATTAAAATAATAAGCGTTGCAGTTTATTTTAATGCCTTTTATAACCTTCAAATTTTGATTGGATACAAATATAAGCTTTTTATGTTTAAGTATTTTCATATACATTCGTACAAAAAATTACACTGTTAAAAATGTTTGTAGTTTTAATATACATAAAGTACTTAAATTTAAGAAACTGGTATATTAGAGTGTAATTCATATACAAAGTATATTAAATTTTGTCACTGAAAAAAATTCAAATAAAAAAATTGCATTTTACTCAATTTATACATGTTCTTGTGTACAAAATAAGGTTTTTATTAATAAAGCAAAGTAATTTCTTTCATGTAAATACACGTTTAAATCAATTTACATTGTAAAAATGCATATAATTTGACATTTATAGTACTTAACCTAAATGTCACATATAAGTATTAAAATTCTTGTATTTAGAATGTTTTTTTTGAAAAATTTTCCCCTTATAAAACATTTTTTTTTTTTTTTTTTTTTTTTTTTTTTTTTTTTTTTTTTTTTTTTTTTTTTTTTTTTTTTTTTTTTTTTTTTTCAATTTATACTCCTGTCCTATTGGCCTAACGCTCTCGACAAGAGTACCCGAGGAATACTTTTTGATTGGAAGCATAACCCTGAAAATTATTCTAAATTATTAACCTAGTGCGCCTACAGTACGACTTTCGACGATAGGAGTACTCGCATTTGCCTGGACCACCCGTAATGGGTTTTCTCGCCAGAGGAGTAGGAAAACTGTAGAAAACCTCTCCTGAGTACAACCGGCTTATTGACAACCGAGTTCCAGCGGTGTGAATCGGACAATTAATCGACAATCCACACCGTTGTACCTTGGCGTCAAGCCTACGCTCGGTATGTCTTCACGTGGTGAAAACACATCCGGTCACTGCGTTCACAAAGGGTAACCCATCTTTGCACTAACCGTGCTCAGAAGTGCTTAACCTCATCGAACGCAGACCAAGTGTTCTCAGCACCAAGCCATTACCGGCGGTATAAAACATTATTTGGACATAAACAACACAATAGTTAGAGAATTACGCACTGTTGTTTCAATTTCAAATAAATTTTCAATATCAAGGAAATAATGTCCGTTTGGTGAAATAGGCATCTACAGCCGCCATGTTGGCACTTTAAATTTAATATACATGTATCTTAGATTTCAATACCTGTAGTGCATATTCGCTTCATACGCATGTATATTAAATCTAATACAGATTTTTCTAACAGTGTACAGCATTTATAGGACAAAGGTGCATCATAAAATTCATGTCTCATAATTGGTACAAATTTATTATTTACAATTTTATCAATAATTTATGATTTTAATATAAAAATGATATTAAAAGCACTGTTTTAACAACTTTTTTTACCTTTCTAATGCAGCAAAAAATTTCGTATTAGTTTCTTAAAATAATTGTTTAAATATACACTAAATCTCAAAAATTAGCTGAAAAGTCGTCTTATAATTGCTGGTACTTATTATCTTATATTTGTTTTAATTTTCCAATGTGAATTATAATAAACTTACCTAATGAATGGCATTCTTTGGTTTCACAAACCTCCGGAATATTGGCATTATTTATTTTTGCCGAAGTTATTAAGTAGACGGCCAAAACTCTAAAACAATAAAAGTTAATTTATCAATTTAATTTGTTTATCATTTTTATATTTTAAAAATATATAGAACATGTTAAAATAAAAATAATTATAAATAATGAATTAAAAATTTTTCACAAAATATAAAGAAAAATTTTAAAAATTTATCTGGATAATATTGATTTATTTTATTATGAAAAATCATATACTTTCTGATATCAAAGTTAGTAATTCCATCGCAGTATTACAAAATAATATTTTATAATTTTACAATTAAAGCAATATATTTAAAAAAAACAGTTTTTTTTATCTAGAATTTGCACCAAAAAATTTCAAGAGATTAATTATTATTAAACTTAATGCACAAAATTAGAATGAAATGTTTCATTATACTTACACGTAATAAATATCGACCATGTTCCATAAATAAATAAATTATGAGAAAAAATAATTAAAAATTGTCTTAATGGAACCTCTTAAAACAGTTGAATTCAACAATATACTCATCGTGTTTTTACTAAAATCGAGTCATATATATATGTGTGTCTTAGATTACCCAACATTTCACTTCCACTATATTTGATTTTAACTAAAATTCTTATTAACAGTAAACAACATATATTTCAGGTGAATTATTTTTTCTGATAATTTCATTTATTTTAAGTGTAATAAAATTGTTACTCATATATAGTTATCAAATAAAATTTACATACATATATGTGTGTCTTAGATTACCCAACATTTCACTTCCACTATATTTGATTTTAACTAAAATTCTTATTAACAGTAAACAACATATATTTCAGGTGAATTATTTTTTCTGATAATTTCATTTATTTTAAGTTGTAACGGTGACCTAATATTCTAGTTAGATTTCTACGAAAAACATATTATTTCATAAGCCACAGGTGCAATGCAATGACACAGGTGCAACGCATTGCCTAAATAATGTTAAGATATCAATTTAACCCATATTGATAAGATTGAAATGTTGAAACCCTAACCCTATATAATGTGCCCTTTGTCATCGAAGATTGAGATATTCTCCAACCTTTAAACTAAGAACAACTATATTAAATTTGTGAAGTCTTGAAGTAAAATAAAAGTATACCTAAACTTATTATTTATTCTTTATTCTTCCCGTGACAAAGTGTAATAAAATTGTTACTCATACACGGAGAGAAAAATCTGCCTTTTATAGTATAGAAAGGTTTACATTTAATGCACAGAAATTTTCTATGCTATATAGGCATGAAATTTGAGTAATTATAGTACAATCGTATGTCTTTTTAGCATGAAACTTGTCTATGCTAATAAAGTTTGTCATATAGCCTCTTATTACATACTTATTATACTTTTAATCCAACGGCGCCATGCGAAGATCGCACATAACATCATCCTACTATGTTTGCATAAGTTCTATGCTTTTTCGGGGATAGACTCTTGCAACTGGCGATTAGGCCACGCCCACCTTTACTTAATTGGAACTGCCCTAATCGCCAGTTGCAAGAGTCTATCCCCGGAAAAGCATAGAACTTATGCAAAAATAGTAGGATGATGTTATGTGCGATCTTCGCATGGCGCCGTTGGATATTAATAATTATTGTAGAAAGAACGTAAAAAGATTACCAATATTTGAAAATATTATATTAAATTTCTATTATGAACTTTCAAAAACTCATCGAGTTGTTGCATTATATGGAATGTAGCGTTCTAATATTTGTAAAACTTTATACGAAAAATTCAGAATGTCGGAAGAAAAGGGAAAAAAAGCGGAAACTGTCGGACGTTTCCGTTAATTCTCGGGAGGAAGAGGAGTGAGACTATAGGAACAACATATTCACACTTACGATACAGGTTAATACACATACTAATGAACACGCACGTTCATTTCGCTTATACATAGACATTACACGATCGCAACGAAACCTACACTTACAATTCTATTCGCATAACGATAAATTTCGCTGGGGGTCGGCATATATCGTTTTCTTATATACTAACTACTGAATATTTTTACCACTTGCGAGAAAGAAGTTTACTTATAATAACTTAATAATAAAAAATAGTTTACTAGTGCCAATGGTGTAATTTTATAGAGGTTACGCTGGGTTCATTTTTATTATTAATTGTTTATATAGATTTTTCTTTTTTTTCAGATTAAAAATTATGATTGTTATAAAAATTTTTATTGCAAATGACATCAAAAAATAAAAATTAATAAAAATAATAATAAATTTAATAATTAATAATAAATTTATTATTATTAAATAACTTTAATAAAACATTTTTTATAAATTGAAAATAAGTTTAAATTAAAAAGAATTTAAAACACTATAAACATTTGAAACACGTGTGTTGACAGTTGATAGATACGTTCTGCTGGTTAACAACACTTTCGAAAATCGGATCAAGTCGTAGAAGTTCGAGTAGGACACGAAGCCGCAAACAGACAGAACTTCGGTTAAATTCGTAGTCTCTCGGGAAAATCCGTGACTTTTAATATAAAGTTTTACAAAATGTGAAATAAGTATACGGATATATGTTATTTTTCTTACTATTTTGTGAAATTATTTATTATAATATTTCGTATTCTGTGAATTCATAAAGAAAATACTAATTTTTAAAATAAATATACTAATTCTTATTTCTTAAAATAATAGTTACTCTTAAATTCATTATATATTTTCATAAAAACTGTAATAGTAATCAATATAGGTGCACTTTTTCCCTAAATTGTAACATTTATATTAAACTCTAATATGAGTTTAATACTTAGTAGTATGAATTTTCTTTCAGTGTGGTAGTGATTTGTGTACTTATAAGAAAATTTTGTCTATGTTTTATTGTGGGATTAACTTCAATATAGAGAAATGAGAGTGACTCATTATACTCTCTAAGTCTGAAATAGTCATTTTTGATTAATTCACAGTCATTTTTAACTAATTCAAATAGGGCGGATTCGTTTACTGTGAATTAGTCAAAAGTTACTAATTCAATCTGTAACTAATCTACCACTAAATGAATTAGAAGTTTCAGTTTCTAGATAGGTATACATAGGTAGATGAAGTAGGTAATGCAGACGTATTTATTTTGAAAATAGACAAAAATTATTGCTTAAAAAATAGGAAACGATTATATTTTGTTTTTATATAGTTTAAATAACGTGAATCAATAAAAAAAATCTATTTATTTCATTTTCGAAATTATTCTGCGATAATTACTGGTGGGAGATGTCACTAGGATTTGAACCCATTACCTTGTCCCTTATAAGCAAATTGACATAAACTGTTTATCAAATCGCTAATAAATAAGGTAAAGTCGATTTGTTTTCTATACAAATTTAATTATTATATAAATTTGTAATTAGAGTCTTATAAATGTGCCAATATTGATTTAAATTTGTTAATTAAATTAATTAACATAACAACAATAGTTTGGAGTGTTTTTTGGCCATCTAGGGTAAGTCCGGGGGAGTTGGCCATGCGGGAGAGATGGCCAATTCAAATATTTTATACACTGAAAGAAAATTCATACTACTAAGTATTAAACTCATATTAGAGTTTAATATAAATGTTACAATTTAGGGAAAAAGTGCACCTATATTGATTACTATTACAGTTTTTATGAAAATATATAATGAATTTAAGAATAACTATTATTTTAAGAAATAAGAATTAGTATATTTATTTTAAAAATTAGTATTTTCTTTATGAATTCACAGAATACGAAATATTATAATAAATAATTTCACAAAATAGTAAGAAAAATAACATATATCCGTATACTTATTTCACATTTTGTAAAACTTTATATTAAAAGTCACGGATTTTCCCGAGAGACTACGAATTTAACCGAAGTTCTGTCTGTTTGCGGCTTCGTGTCCTACTCGAACTTCTACGACTTGATCCGATTTTCGAAAGTGTTGTTAACCAGCAGAACGTACCTATCAACTGTCAACACACGTGTTTCAAATGTTGATAGTGCCACAGAAAACATTTATAATTATTAAATTTATTATTATTTTTATTAATTTTTATTTTTTGATGTCATCTTTACAATTATTTAATTTTTATTTGCAATAAAAATTTTTATAACAATCATAATTTTTAATCTGAAAAAAAAGAAAAATCTATATAAACAATTAATAATAAAAATGAACCCAGCGTAACCTCTATAAAATTACACCATTGGCACTAGTAAACTATTTTTTATTATTAAGTTATTATAAGTAAACTTCTTTCTCGCAAGTGGTAAAAATATTCAGTAGTTAGTATATAAGAAAACGATATATGCCGACCCCCAGCGACATTTATCGTTATGCGTATAGAATTGTAAGTGTAGGTTTCGTTGCGATCGTGTAATGTCTATGTATAAGCGAAATGAACGTGCGTGTTCATTAGTATGTGTATTAACCTGTATCGTAAGTGTGAATGTGTTGTTCCTAGTCTCACTCCTCTTCCTCCCGAGAATTAACGGAAACGTCCGAGTTTCCACTTTTTTTCCCTTTTCTTCCGACATTCTGAATTTTTCGTATAAAGTTTTACAAATATTAGAACGCTACATTCCATATAATGCAACAACTCTATGAGAATTTAATATAATATTTTCAAATATTGGTAATCTTTTTACGTTCTTTCTACAATAATTATTAATATTTGAAAAAAGATTTTAAGTTGGAACTTTAATATAAAGTATATTGAATTTTAATAAAAAGTACACTTTTCCCTAAATTCTAAAAGAATATATTAAAATGTAATACGCATTTTGTTATTTTTTCCTATGAAATTTCTTTCAGTGTAGAATTTGCTGCTAGGTATCGCTCATTAAAGATTAGTTCGCTTTGTTTTGTGGCAAAACACAATTAAAAGAAAAAACTTGACGAAAAATATTGAAAAAGTATGTAAAAATCTGATTTATTATTTTGACTAGTTCGGAAAAAAGTGATGAGTTTACGTTTCTCACTGGTGTTATGTTATTTTATAGAATAATTTTGAATTTCATGTTTTTTTGTAAAGTACATGACTCATGCTTTGTCATAATTTTATATTTATTCAAAAATTTTATTTATTTATTTATATTTTAGTTGTGTCAATTTGTCTCCTGACATTAGGAGAGATAGCCATACTGTTTAATTATTGGCACCCTTGAGATTCGTGTGTTTGCTAAAAAAAACATTAATTCTGTGGCAAATGACATTTTTTATGACATATATTACAACAAGACACTCCAACAAAGATTTTCAAATTTAAATATGATCAAATAAAATAATCACTAATGTGTAATTAAATCTTAAAAACGTTTATAAACAATCATAACACAGGTATTCAAAATAACACTTTTTTATATATATAGCGGAGTGGTTTCCTATGTATTTTTGTGTGCTGAACCCGATTCCGGGTTCCAAAATTGCGTATCACATCAGGATTTTGAATAAAGTAGAGGTAAAGTCTCCAAAAACAGTGTTTTTGAGGGTTTTCATTAATTTTTTATCCCTTAACCAGACGTGCTAGACACTTATATATGAGGTAAAATTCCTGAACTGTCACAGGTCCAAAAATGAAGTCTACGGGATCGAGCCAAGATTTTCAGGGATTGTTGTCCTATTGGATAGATCTTCGAATACCAAGTATTGTGAAGTTTTATCAAAACCTGTAGGATGTGGAGGGGGTTGAAATTTCCCACTTTTGATGAACACTCACCTTTTCAAGCCTTTGTAACTTTTTTCCTTTTTGTCGTACAAAAATTTCACTATAAGGTTTTTTTTAGGTTTTTTTACGTACATTTTGATAAAAATTATTAATTTAAAAAAAAAAATTTTTTTGACCCTTTTTTTGCAAAAATAAAAATAAATTTGTATTTTTCTCGACAAGAGGTATTTTTAATTTTTTTAAAAATATTTTCATTCGAAAGCTGAGATTTTTTCCGATGAAATATGTAATTTCCAGGAGGGCGTTTTTTTTTTTCTTCGAGTAATGAAAAAAAGAGTAAAGAGGTGCACCAAGTATCTCGCGCAACTGATGCGACGCGACATCTGTTTATTCATTGGTATATACAGCATAACTTTACGCTAGTAAATTTCATGAAACATTATTATTTCTCTACTTAATTAATATAATATGTGATTAAGAATATCATATTTTGTTGTATTTTAATAATTGAACAAAACTCATAACGACTAACCGGATTCACTAAAAGAGTTTTGTCAGGTTTTGTCACTCAAAATGTTTTAGTTATATAATATATTTTATTTACTATTTTATATTTTTCTAAATTGAGTTAATATTTCGTTGATACCAATTGAGAGTCATTTATAACGTTTAAAAGATTCATGTTTTCGTGAATGTTATAACATGTAGAACATATAGTCCATTCCAAGTTTCTATAAGGCAAGAGTATCTATACATCTATTTGCATTAACTAGTTTGTACTGTTTATTCCTATTAACTGTCGATTAAGAATTTTCAAAGTTTAGGAAAGGTGTCTTTCTGAAAGTATTATTTTGACAATGACGTCAAGTCTGATAAAATCCTGGCGAAGCCAATGCTTTAATCCTCTAAATAAATTTCGGCACAACTCGGTTAATTTGCGTCAGGTTTCCAAAAATCTAATTTAGACATACCAACAGACGCAGTAGTGTGCGTCTCGTGTAGAGTTGAACTTTATAAATTAGCGAAAAAACGGTCGTTAGATTCTCCTCAAGCTGAAACTGGACATTCGTAGATTTTATTTTTGAAGAACTAGAAAAATTTAAATCACTTTCATCATCAGAAATATCAGTTTCAAAAATTCTTTCATGATTTTCATCAACATTATCCGATTGATGCGGATCAGGAATGGTTTCAGCTTGAGGAGAATCTAACGACCGTTTTTTCGCTAATTTATAAAGTTCAACTCTACACGAGACGCACACTACTGCGTCTGTTGGTATGTCTAAATTAGATTTTTGGAAACCTGACGCAAATTAACCGAGTTGTGCCGAAATTTATTTAGAGGATTAAAGCATTGGCTTCGCCAGGATTTTATCAGACTTGACGTCATTGTCAAAATAATACTTTCAGAAAGACACCTTTCCTAAACTTTGAAAATTCTTAATCGACAGTTAATAGGAATAAACAGTACAAACTAGTTAATGCAAATAGATGTATAGATACTCTTGCCTTATAGAAACTTGGAATGGACTATATGTTCTACATGTTATAACATTCACGAAAACATGAATCTTTTAAACGTTATAAATGACTCTCAATTGGTATCAACGAAATATTAACTCAATTTAGAAAAATATAAAATAGTAAATAAAATATATTATATAACTAAAACATTTTGAATGACAAAACCTGACAAAACTCTTTTAGTGAATCCGGTTAGTCGTTATGAGTTTTGTTCAATTATTAAAATACAACAAAATATGATATTCTTAATCACATATTATATTAATTAAGTAGAGAAATAATAATGTTTCATGAAATTTACTAGCGTAAAGTTATGCTGTATATACCAATGAATAAACAGATGTCGCGTCGCATCAGTTGCGCGAGATACTTGGTGCACCTCTTTACTCTTTTTTTCATTACTCGAAGAAAAAAAAAAACGCCCTCCTGGAAATTACATATTTCATCGGAAAAAATCTCAGCTTTCGAATGAAAATATTTTTAAAAAAATTAAAAATACCTCTTGTCGAGAAAAATACAAATTTATTTTTATTTTTACAAAAAAAGGGTCAAAAAAATTTTTTTTTTTAAATTAATAATTTTTATCAAAATGTACGTAAAAAAACCTAAAAAAAACCTTATAGTGAAATTTTTGTACGACAAAAAGGAAAAAAGTTACAAAGGCTTGAAAAGGTGAGTGTTCATCAAAAGTGGGAAATTTCAACCCCCTCCACATCCTACAGGTTTTGATAAAACTTCACAATACTTGGTATTCGAAGATCTATCCAATAGGACAACAATCCCTGAAAATCTTGACTCGATCCCGTAGACTTCATTTTTGGACCTGTGACAGTTCAGGAATTTTACCTCATAAATGCAATTTCTGGTACTGCATTTAAAATACATTTCAAACGCTCAAGGTCTTCAACACCAGTTCCTGAAGTAGCGGCAGTATATTTAATACAGTCGGGATGTTTATCCGCAAATTCTTTCCACTCTTCTATTGTATAATATTTATGCAGAATTGTAAAAAATCCGTACTAAAAGAATAAATAAAAAAAAAATTTTTTTTCTTAATTATTACAAAATAACTCATCACAATTAATTTTATCAATATATGAATTAAAATTGATTTATCGCTTAAAAAAAAAATTGTTGCTTTACTTTTTACCAAGCATTTAAGAAATTTTAATTTATCCAATTTTTTCTTTTTTTTTTACAAAAAGAAATGAAAATTTTTATTAAAAAAATTTATAAATAGTGACATACATTACTAATACTATTTAAATAATAAAAATTATTATTTTCTGCGTAAATAAATAAATTAATAATAATAATATATTTTAAATAGAAGTAATTTTTTTTTTTTATAAACGTCAAACGTTATCAAAAATTTAAAAATACCTTTGCCAAAACTGTGGCTATTTCAAAAGTTCCAATCGTCTCCATATTAGATGCCGTCACGGGTATTCCATTATATGTTTGTTTTGAATGGCGAAACGTAATTTCTCGATACAAATCCACCTAAAATATAATATTTGTCAAAGAAAGCTAAAATTTAGATAGATAGATTTTATTTCTCCATTGTGTACTTTTGAAAGCTAAAATTTATTTTTTCGAATTTTCCATTAACAGAAAATTTTTTTTTTTTTTCATTTCATCACGTGAGATTTCCGTCGACCCTTTAAATTTGGCAAAATATATTTTTTTCTTGTTCTGTAGTGAAAAAAAAGAGATACGTATTTTTTTATTTTTTTGAAAAATTTTCGAGTTATGAATTTTCAAAATTTCAATTTCTTCAATGAAGACCTATTTTCAATGGCTAAAAACTCAAAAAAAAAAAATGAATTTTTTCAATTTTTGATAAGAAAAGAAAAGATTCAGTTTTTCTTTTACTTTTCAATAATGTTAACAAAAAATTTTTTTTTTCATTTTTTATTAAAAAAATATCCATTTTTTATAAACAAATTAAGTTTTTTTTAATTTGGATATGATATTTTTTTAATTTTTTTTTTTTTAAACATATCAGGAAATACTACCCAGCAAACACGTTCTATAAATGTTCTATAACAGTGATGTCACAGTTTTACAGAACAGTTGTTACAAAAGAGTGACAGAACTGTTCTATATTATGATAACGTCACAGTTCTATAACAATGTTATGTAACATGTCTATAACACGAAAGTCACAAATGATCTGTAACTGACGTTCCAAGGTAGTTCTAGAACTGTGCTAGAAGAATGTTATGTATCTGTTCTGAAATTTTGTTGCAGTTAAGTTCTAGAAAACATTTGTTATTACAAAATGGAACAATTCTGTAACTATGTTACGTCACAGTTCTATAACACAATAGTCACAAGTGACCTGTAACTGACGTTCTAACGTAGTTCTAGAACTGTGCCAGAACAATGTTATGTAGCTGTTCTGAAATTCTGTTGCTGTTAAGTTCTGGAAGACATTTGTTACTACAATTCGGAACAATTCTGTAACAATGTTACGTAACATTTCTGTAACACGTTAGTCACAAATAATCTGCAAGTGATGTTCCAACGTAGTTCTAGAACTGTGTCGGAACAATGTTATGTAGCTGTCCTTTGTCTTAAATATAAAGTTAAATTTGAACAGTTTAAATTTGACAGTGCCGTATATGTGGTTTTATATCCAAGATAGTAGTTGCTTATCTTAGGTTTTTTCTTTTTCTATTAATTTACATTGAAAATTCTGAAACACTTTCTCCGAACCAAATAATTCATGTTAATGCCATTAAAAGAAAGTGACTCAAAATTAATCAAAATAATAGCTTCATTGTTATTCCACTTCTGCACGTAAATAATTAATTTGATGTTGAATGTGTGATGCATATTTTATACTTGTAAATATATGTGACACAGACAGTTAAAAGAGACCTACGGTCCGAAAAAATCAATTTTCATTTTTTTATTGATTCTTATAGTAAATAAGCCGCTCTTTCCAACGCATTAAACCGCAGCTTTCTAGCTGCATTAGTTTTTTAACAATTTCACTTCAAAGTTAGGTACCTTGACAAAAGAAAGTACAACAAAATCAAATTTGACAAACTTTTCTAAAATTACACCAGCACACAAAAAAAAAAAATTTCGAGTGCGAAGACCGCCACATGGTAGGTTCTCTTCCTTAAGATGTATCTAAAGAGAAAATCCTAGTCCGACCTCGAGTTTGGTTCTTGTTTCATTTTTACAGGCCTGGTGGGGGGGTGTAGTTTGAGAAATTAACATATATGGGAATTTAATTTCTTTTATCAACTGAAAGTGAATGTTTGCTTATTCTAACTGTGGATTTTGATTCAGTGGCTCTAATTACATGAAAATTTAATAAATACACAAATTTAAAAATGGCGGATCCAATATGGCGGACCTAAAATGGTGGATTTTTTTAAAAATTTGCTTGGATTTCCTTGAAACTTGTTACTAGGGGGTTTTTCGGGTCGCTGATTACGAATTTGATGTCAAATTTTATAAATTCAATATGGCGGATCCAATATGGCGGACCTAAAATGGTGGATTTTTGAAAAATTTGTTTGGATTTCCTTGAAACTTGTTACTAGGGGGTTTTTGGGGTCGCTGATTACGAATTTGATGTTAGTTTTTCAAAATTCAAAATGGCGGATCTAATATGGCGGACCTAAAATGGTGGATTTTTGAAAAATTTGTTTGGATTTTCTTGAAACTTGTTACTAGGGGGTTTTTGGGGTCGCTGATTACGAATTTGATGTTAGTTTTTCAAAATTCAAAATGGCGGATCTAATATGGCTGAAAATTTTCGAAAAATTGTTTGGTTTTTGTCAAAAATTGTTATTTTGGGCTGTTTAGATTACTGAATATGATTTTAATGTCAACTTTAATACATTAAAAATAGCGTATTTGAAATGCCGAGTTACGGTCGACTTATTTCGAATTTAATTTGAATTTGTTTAAAACATTAAGACTTATTAAAAAGACTTCTTTTGAAATGGGCCGAATTTGCGATTTTCGTTTCATAGTTTAAATTAGCAAAGTAGTAGGTGCGAAATTTTTTCAATCTTAACTTATGTTGCTTAGAAGTGTCAGAATCTTATTCAGCAACCTAAACAGCCCAAAATAGCAATTTTTTACAAAAACCAAACAATTTTTCAAAAATTTTCAGCCATATTAGATCCGCCATTTTGAATTTTGAAAAACTAACATCAAATTCGTAATCAGCGACCCCAAAAACCCCCTAGTAACAAGTTTCAAGAAAATCCAAACAAATTTTTCAAAAATCCACCATTTTAGGTCCGCCATATTAGATCCGCCATTTTGAATTTTGAAAAACTAACATCAAATTCGTAATCAGCGACCCCAAAAACCCCCTAGTAACAAGTTTCAAGGAAATCCAAACAAATTTTTCAAAAATCCACCATTTTAGGTCCGCCATATTGGATCCGCCATATTGAATTTATAAAATTTGACATCAAATTCGTAATCAGCGACCCGAAAAACCCCCTAGTAACAAGTTTCAAGGAAATCCAAGCAAATTTTTCAAAAAATCCACCATTTTAGGTCCGCCATATTGGATCCGCCATTTTTAAATTTGTGTATTTATTAAATTTTCATGTAATTAGAGCCACTGAATCAAAATCCACAGTTAGAATAAGCAAACATTCACTTTCAGTTGATAAAAGAAATTAAATTCCCATATATGTTAATTTCTCAAACTACACCCCCCCACCAGGCCTGTAAAAATGAAACAAGAACCAAACTCGAGGTCGGACTAGGATTTTCTCTTTAGATACATCTTAAGGAAGAGAACCTACCATGTGGCGGTCTTCGCACTCGAAATTTTTTTTTTTTTGTGTGCTGGTGTTAGTCAAATTCGCTTGAAACTCGTTACTCAGAGGTTTTCGGGGTCGCTGATTACGAATCCGCTGTTAGTTTTTGAAAATTCAAAATGGCGGATTCAGTATGGCGGATGGCTTTTTTAAAAATTGATCGGATTCGCTTGAAATTCGTTACTCGGGGGTTTTTGGGCTCGCTGATTACGAATACGATGTTAGTTTTTAAAAGTTCAAAATGGCGGATCCAATATGGCGGATGACGTTTTTAAAAATTGATCTGATTCGCTTGAAATTCGTTACTCGGGGGTTTTTGGGGTCGCTGATTACGAATCCGATGTTAGTTTTTAAAAATTCAAAATGGCAGATCCAACGAAATTTTTGACTTTTACACAAATTCGAACAAATTTTAAATGTTGTCCTCCATATTGGATCCGCCATTTAAAATTTTTAAAAACTAACATCATATTTGTAATCAGCGACCCCAAAAACCCCTGAGTAACGATTTTCAAGCAAATCCGATCAATTTTTAAAAAAGTCATCCGCCATATTGGATCCGCCATTTTGAATTTTTAAAAACTAACATCATATTCGTAATCACTGACCCCAAAAACCTCCGAGTAACGAATTTCAAGCGAATCAGATCAATTTTTAAAAAAGTCTTCCCCCATATTGGATCCGCCATTTTAAATTTTTAAAAACTAACACCATATTCGTAATCAGCGACCCCGAAAATCCCCGAGTGACGAATTTCAAGCGAATCTGATCAATTTTTAAAAAAGTCATCCGCCATATTGAATCCGCCATTTTGAATTTTCAAAAAATAACATCATAATCGTCATCAGCGACCCCCAAAACCTCCGAGTAACAAGTTTTAATTCATTAAAACGTTCACAAGCATCAAAACCAACTTGCTAAACTTCAAAGTCGTTTTTCTCGAAATCTTTTTTTCGGATCGTAAGTCCCTTTTAACTGTCCGTGTCACATATATATTTCGCCCTGATGTAAATTTGTAATAAAAAAAATTATTAATTTCATAATAAGACATGTTTTGTGTATTTGATATATAGTTATTTGAATATTAACTTTGTGAGTAACAATAGTAATAAAATTCTATTATATTAACAAGCATAAAGCATTTGTGCATACATTTGTAAGAAAAAAGCAGTATGTCAAATCAAATTAACTCGATATAAACATTTACATTTAATTTTTTAATGACATAAGAATGTGTTAAATATAAATTATATAACCTAATAACAACTTTATTATGCACCACAATAGTACAGGGTGTCCTAAAATTTTAGGGATGTCTGGATATCGCGTAATAATAGCCTTTTTGACAAAAAATTTAAAAATTTGTTCAGAATAGCAAAATATGTTAAAATATGCAATTTGATTTTGTTATTCTGAACAATCTTTCATTTAAGTTTCTTTTTCTCAAAAATAAGATCGTTACAAAATACCCAAATGTCTTGGAAATTTCAGGACAACATGTATAACAACACTAGATCGTTGTTACATTCACAGAAAACTAAAAGGTATTAAAATAAGCTGCAACACTTCTTATTTTAATCAAATGTTTCTTATTTTAATCCATTTTGGTATTAAAATAAGTAAAAATGGATTAAAATAAGAAGCGTTGCAGCTTATTTTAATACCTTTCAATTTTCTGTGTTACTGTTCTTCTCATTT